CTTTGCAGACTTCTCAAACAATTTCTCACCAGACTTCTCAAACAAACTTTCACCAGACTTTTCAGACACCTTTTCACCAGACTTTTCTACCTCAACATTTTCCACTTCCACAGCTTTCACATATGGCTCTCTCCTGGGATTTGGAATCACAGGTTTTTTAGAGGACTTACGAATTAAGGAAGCAGGTTACTCATTCACCTCTTCATTGTCAACATCAACAACAAGTGCTGGAGTCACTTCTTCCTCATTCACCAGCTTTCCCCTTTTCACCAGCCTCCCTATTTTCTTCCGTTCTTTATTTTTCTTCAGAACAGATTCAAAGGCTTCCTTCTTTTGCAGCCCGGTAGTAGGTCTTTTAGGAGTGGGCTCTTTGGGAACTGCCCTTCTACTCCAAGCCGAAAAGAAGCTTGCTACAGACACATTGTCATAGTCATCCTCACTGCTTTCATTTTCCTCTTTAGATAAAGATCTCATCTCAGGAAAGAGAATGGTTAACAGCTCAGCATCAAAGTGAGGAGAAAGAGCATGATCAGTACTAACTTAGGGATCTTTTGAGGATCAAGGATTTTTATCCTAAGTAGGAGCAAAGGGATCCTCTTGGGATGAGGGATCAGGTCCCTCATTTGGTTCCCTAGTAGTACTGATATGTGCCAAATTTTCAGATGGCACCATTTCCTTACCCTCATCCTTATGACTTTCACCTTCCCCCTGAGATCCAATGGTCTCATTTTCACGCTTATACCCACCAACCAAACCTCCCTCTGCAGTGATTAGTAACATGTTCTCAATGGCTTCTTGTTCATTCATCCCCAAGGTAGAATCAGAGGATACAAGAGGAACATTACCTGTAGGATTGGCAATATTCAGATCAAAGCTTGGAACGGGCGCTACTGAGTCTTCACTACTACGAACTACACTATGTTGGGCTTTAGAAATCTCCCCAACTTTCTGACTAGAAACTTCCTGACCCTCGTCTTTGTCTACTATTTCGCCTTCTGCCATTTTTTCCTGCGAGGCATAAGATGAGGTTGCAGCAACGAATCTTTTGGGGTTCTGAGTCTTACGAATGCAGTGAGAACAAGAACTCGATTGGGTTGGAGAGGAAGTAGTAGGTGGTTGCTGGTCTGGTATGGGGTTTTAACTGGGTGACTAAGGGGACTCGGACTTTCATTCATGTGATTCATGAGACGAAGACACAGTGGGAACTACACTGGAGACATTTGAAACTTCTGGATCTTGAGACATAGTGAAGATTTGAAGTGAGGACACGAGAGTAAGAGTGTTTGCTTTAAGATAGAAAAGGGAATTTTGGTTTTGATGTGGATAGTGAGGAAAGAGACAACGTTTGGGGGTTATTTAGAGGAAGTGAGGGACCGGTTACAAGATGGGTATGAATCACTGGGTAGACGGATCGTTTGGTAACAGGTGTGACGTTTGAGTTCTAAAGAGATGACACAGAAAGACTGAATTTTTTTTAATGACGTGGCACTTTTATAGCCGTTAAAAATATGCATGAAAGTACAAGGGAACTACTAACCTTAGTCAAGGAAACCGGGTTCTCTGACTTAGTTTTGTAAATGTGAGCCTCATCCTTTTACCAAGATGCAATGTCATTAGTTTCTTGTTTGCTTTGTAGTTGCCATGTGTATCTACCTGTAACGGTATGGAGATGAGTTAGAACTTGCCAGAAAACACTTTTAAGATATTTTACCTATTCATTCTTTCATAGCTAATCATTGAGAGACCTGGTGCTCAGTTTAATTTTATCAACCCAAATGCCAATTGATTCTTTTCAAAGTGCTCTCTGCTCAGTGCTTTGATGAAGATATCTACTACTTGGTCTTCTGTTTTGCAGAACTTCATGCAGATAAGACCTTTTTCAACATTGTCTCTGAGAAAATGATGTCGTACATCAATGTGCTTTGTGAACCGGGTTCATTGCCATGTTGAGAGCACTTGGATTATCACACAGTAATGGCACGCAATCAGAAAATGCACCAAAGTCCTCCAGTTGCTGCTTGATCCACAGCAATTGAGTACAGCAAGAGGAAGCTGCCACATACTCAGCTTCTGCAGTTGAAAGAGCCACAGAGTTTTGTTTCTTTGTACCCCATGAAATCAAATATGATCCCAGAAAATATGCCATGCCAAATGCACTTTTCCTATCCACCAGATAACTAGTATAATCAGCATCAGCATACCCAATTAAGTCAAAATTGCCCCCTGAAGGATAGTAGAGAACCAAGTCTTGCATTCCTTTAAGATACCTTAGAATCCTCTTGGCAGCTTTAAGATGAGATTCCTTTGGACTGGATTGAAATCTAGCACATAATCCCACACTGAATACAATATCAGGTCTACTAGTTGTGAGATACAAGAGTGAACTAATGATGCCTCTGTACATGGTTCTGTTCATAGGAGAACCAGGTTCATCCAAGTCCAGACAGGTGGCAGTGGCAATAGAAGGATCAATGATTTTTGAACTTTCTATCTCAAATCTCTTCAGGAGCTCTTTAATGTACTTCTGTTGGCTTATCATCGCTCCCTTAGGAGTTTACTTAACTTGCATTGTAACCTAGGAATTAAACTCTTAATCCCTCACTCACTTGTAATAACTCTATTACAAGCCTCTTTGTAATAACTCTATTACAAAGCTCACAACTCGACTAACTCTAGCCAAGACACAAACACAAGGTTTATGATTTTACAAATGGTTTCTCACACAATGCTTCTAACTAAACTAAGTAGGAATTACATATGGATCACTTTAACAAAAGTACAACACAGCTAAGGACATATAATAACACTGTGCTGAAAGCTGGTCCTTCGTTCTGTTTGTTCTTTCACTACAAGAAATCAGCCTTATTGTGGCGACCAAAGTCGCTACAAAATCCCTGCAAGTCACTGCTACATCTTATCAGCGGCGACATTTGTGTTGCTACAAGCAAAACCGTAACTAAAAGATATTTTGCAGCGACATAGTTGCCACAATAGGTGAAAAAACCCGCTACAAAAATGGTTTCACAAGAATAAATATTTAGTTGGGTCGCCACTGCTATTCACCTTTAGCGGCGACTATTATCGCTGCCAAAACATTATTTTTAGTGGCAAGTTAATGTCGCCACTATAAATGAGTGTTATCAGCGACTCTTGTCGCCACGAAATAATAAACCATGAAAGACACAATAACTTTCTGTAGCGACTAAAGTCGCTGCAAAAGAAATAAACTAACAGTGGCAACTTTAACATCACAACAATTATTAATATTTGTAACAAAATAATGTCGCCACTAAAATTTATTTTCTCAAAAACTATAATGACCAAAATTATATACATTTCCAGTAGGAACCTACTTCTCTAAATTTTAATATCTGGACATTTATATCAATTGACTACCAATATTAAAAGAAACCAATAATATTTTAAATACACTAAATGAATTTCTCAAACCGAATATTATAAATATTTTCATTACTAAAAAGTCAATTACATATATACTACACGACACTTCATTGTGCATTGTAATTCTACGCATATACGTATTCCAAAAAAGATAAAATATTAAGTGCCTTGTAACTGCTCCTTAGTCGACACCATCCTTGAACGATACCATTGTTTAAATGTCTTGTCCCTGCGAGACAATACAATATATATATATATATATATATATATATATATGCATAGAAAGTATAAAAAAAAACATGCATAGAAAGTACCTTGGATGAACACCTAAAAAACAGAAATTGTCAGAGGAACTTCAGTTGGCATAAATAACTTCAAAAATAGCAACTTGTGACATTAATCAGAATTAGTGTCGTGCATAAAAGCACATAAGAAATTATTTAAACTGGATTACCTTGTCATGGTTATAAAGAAGCAACCATATACTCTGTAATCAACAATATCATACAACACCTAGTAATTGACCATATCACACAAACACTTTTAATTCATATACTAAAAGACGCGGTTATATGTATAAGCAACTACAAATTGAAACAGTGATTATGGTATCTCATAGGTAGGAGTGAAGCGGCAGAAATAGCAGCAGCAGCGCTTGAAGCAGCTACAGTTTTTTTCCATTATTTCTCAAGATCCACACATGCAAAGGAAGGCATTGTGCAAATACTTTCAAAGGTCTCAATGGTCCCAACAGACCTTCTTTGTGGACTGAAAATTGGACTGCACAGTAAGTATCATCTTTTTACTAATTAATCTATGGGTATCATTAACTGTAGATTTAATCATGTTAAAAGATATTTGAATTATAGATATAGGACATTTGGAGACCTTCCATTACAAAGAGCAGCAGAAGATTGCATTTTCTGTAGCTCAATTTTTTGCTATATTACATAGAAGAATAATCATATCTAATGATTACACTTTTCTTAAGATCGTCAGCACTACTTCAATTGTCAAAAATTCCAACTCTGCTATCCTTTGTACCTCACATGGCTTTGATCACAAAGCTCAATAAAAAATTCAGTATATTTTTATTCCATGTGAATGTATCAGTGGGAAGTGGTCAAGTGGCTAAAGAACATTGCCCATCCCTATAAAGTTATTGCATAGCTTGTTCTGATAATATTACTAATGCATCAGGAATAACTAGTCGTACAACGAATTTTCATTACAGTACTATGTGATGAGAGGACCCGAATATCAATATCACCATGCGGACACCATGTGTGCTCCTGGGACAATACAAAATATTATTCCTATACTCAATTGGATGCAACCTTTGTCTAATTCCAAGATCCATCAAGTCATATCTACTTTTAAATATGTCTTTTGTCTTTTCAACCATATTCATGACAATTAATACAATATTATCGGATAACATTTCTTTCCATATGCATCACATCAAGGTTATGTCGTAACATAAAACTCTTCCAATAAGGCAATTGGAAAAAGATACTTTTCTTCTTCCAATTGTAAGCATTGCTATGAACATCACCGTTTCTCTTTTGTCCTTTACCAAAAGTCACATTACCAAAAGCTTATAATTGCACAAGTGCTTCATCACCTGTTAAAGGATTAGGTGCAACTCCCATTTCAACTTTCCCATCAAATAACGTCCTACTTCTCCGCCATGGATGGTCCATGGGAAGGAAGCGACGATGACCCATATAACACAACTTACTACGCAAGGAAGTCGATTGTGTATCTTTATGGCAACAAGGGCATGCAAGCTTGCCTTTGGTTGACCATCCTGAAAGATTTTCATACGAAGGAAAGTCATTGATCGTCCACATGATAGCCACACGCATCAGAAAATTAGATTTTGAGTGTGCATCATAAGTCTCCACCCCGTCCCATAATTCTTTCAACTCTTCAACCATTGGTTGTAAATATACATCGATATCATTGTCTGGATACTTGGGGCCTGGAATAAGAAGTGTCATCATAAAATATGGATTTTTCATGCAATCCCATGGTGGTAAGTTATATGTAGCTAGTACGACTGGCCAAATACTATGATTAGAACTCATGTTCCCATAAGGTTGGAACCCGTCACTTGCCAAACCTAATCGAACATTTCTTAACTCAGCTGAAAATGTGGGATGTCGTGCATCAAAGGATTTCCATGCTACTGAGTCAGACGGATGTCGCAAGACACCATCATCAATATTTTCCTCCTTGTGCCACCTCATCTTTTTAGCTGTTTCACTTGCCATGTACAATCTTTGAAGCCTTGGTTTGATTGAAAAATGCCGCAAGATTTTATGAGCTACTTTCTTGCCTTCGTGTTCTTCGGACTTCCATATAGACTTACCATACTTAAGACATGCTTGGACATCAGCATAATCACGCCAATATAAAATACAATCATTCCGACATGCATCTATTTTGGTGTACCCCAAGCTGAGGTCACAAAGAACTTTCTTTGCTTCATAAAAAGAATTTGGCACAAATGAACCCTCGGGAAGAACTTCTTTAAAGAAGCTCAATAATGCATCCATCGATTTATTGCTCCAATGGTTAAGACACTTCAAGTGAAGTGGTTTAACAACAAAAGACAACTTCGAGACTTTTTTACAACCGGGATAAAGTTCTGTCTCAGCATCTTCTAACAATTTGTAGAACTTTGTTGTATGTATATTTGGCTCTTCATTGTCAACTGAATTATTACTATTATTATCCTCCATATTCGTATATCCACAAGCATCGTGAATTATTTCAGTAATATTATCCTCTTCAATGTTATTATCTTCTGCTTCATCACTAACTGCAATATTAGAAGTTTCAACTCTAACTAACACTTCTCCATGCAAGTCCCACACTTTATAAGAATCCCAAAAACCCTTCCTCAATAAATTTCCTCTTACACCAACCCTTAGCTTAAACACGGTATTCATATACCCTTTACAAGGACACTGAATCATAGTGTTCACAGTTGGTTGACTGAATGCCCAATTAAGAAAGTTGTCTACTCCATCTCTATACCTTTGGTCGACTCTATTCCTTATATTCAACCAACTTTTATCCAACATATCTATTTTAAAAAATAAATAAATAAATTAGCTAATTAAAAGTGGAAGGATAATAATAATAATAATAATCAAAATATCTATAATAACTAACATACCAAAGAAAGATGAACAAATCAGATCACTTATAAATAAAAATTTATTGCAGCAATTTTTCCCTATTACACACCTTTTGATTAACAAGGAAAATAAATAGTTTCATAAAAAGAATTTATATACTACAACATAATATAAACACCTTAATGATAAACAGATGTAACATATCTTACCCAACTAGACTCAAAGTGTCATGAATCTTATTTTTAGTTCAACTCAATCGTTTTAACTTGTAGTGTTTCTGTGACCATGAGACTATACCTTCTGTGACTATGAGACTACATATTGTTAATGAAAATGAGACTATATATAACAGATACTAAGAAATAAGAAGCTTTAAGAATTCAAGAAAGACATTTAATAAATAAAACCCACAAATCATGAAGAGTAGTAAATATCAGAAATAAATGAATATGGGCAGAATCTATGAAGCTTCCAACTTTTCTAAAATGGGCCGGAGATTGATGTCATGAATGATGAGTTAACTATTTTTCCTTTGAATACAACATCATAAATCTTTTATGTGGACAAAATAGCTTCTTCTGTATGGATTCTTGATAACAAATGTAGGACAAAAGGTTTTAAAATAACCAGAAAATAGAGTGCTCCTTTGCAATTCTTTTTAAACTTCATATCAAATGCAATAACAACAGAACTATGGCAAGGACCGAAAACAATTCCCTTTCAAATTCTAGAAAGAGAAAATCACATTGCTGCGATATAAAAGTCTAGATCTAACTGGTAAAGGGACATAACTGAAAGAACCTATTAAGCTCATATAATAATTCAAACTGAATAGAATGCCGACATGTAAAAGGTCTCTCAAGAAGAAGATTTTAACTTACCCAGGAAAAGAGATAGCTGAGATTTTATCAAGACCGAGAATCGACAATAACAATACCAAATACACTTCAAATAATTCTTTTTGTGTGATTTTCTTGGTATTCCTGTAGATTATCAAATGGCTAAGAGAAATTCGAGATGAAATCTGAGAATACAAAAGTGAAATTGCTGAAAACATAATTATCCCTAACTGCATGTTGAAACTTTTGCCTTACAGAATCATTATACAAAAATACCCAACAACAATAACAACAACCCAGTATAATCTCACTAATGGGGTCTGGGGAGGGTAGTGTGTACGTAGACCTTACCCCTACCCTGGGGTAGAGAGACTGTTTCCGATAGACCCTCAGATCCCTCCCTCCAAGAACTCCCCACCTTACTCTTGGGGTGACTCAAACTCACAACCTCTTAGTTGAAAGTGGAGGGTGCTCACCACTAGAGCAACACACTCTTGTCAGAAATACCCAAATGTAAATATATCTTATATAAATATTTATGGGGTTTTAGTTAGATATGAGATAGTAAGAAATAAGAAGTAAAGAATGCACGAAATCGATTAGGAACAGAAATCATTTCTTTGATTCTTCCTCCGCGAAATCGATTGATTAGCAACTTCTTTCCCAAAAAAAATGAAAAGATTAGGGATTTGAACACACCTGACAAATAAGATTCATATTTTGATTTGAGGGGTTTTGATTTGGATGAAATTTTAGATGAAGACCTGATTTGTAGAGAGAGAGAGAGAGAGAGAGAGCGCCGATTCTAGAGAGAGTTTTATACTCCTCTATTCTTTCACTAGCTTTGTGGGCTTCTGTTCCAGACAAGTTTTAATTAGGATATTTAACTTTTATTTTTTTTATTATATTAAAAGTGAAAATCTAGGGTATAGGAGCGACCCAGTCGTTGCAAAAGAGTTTTAGCGACGACTTTGCCAAAGTCGCCACAAATATTATGGAGCCAAAATTTTATTTTTAGCGGGGTTGAAAATTTCAGCCATATCAGAGGCGGCCTAAAATAAGTCGCTGCTTAAAATTATCCTTCTGCAGCGACTTTGGATGTCGCTGCTAATAATATAGTTGTTGTAGCAACCTATAGGGTCGCTGCTATATGTTACCACTAATAATCCAATTTCTTGTAGTGTTTGCTCTTGAAGCCTGGAAGTCACTTGCGAGATGGCAACACACTTGAGAGGAAACTCACTCAATTTTCAGATGTGCAAGTGTGTGTTTTTCCTTTGCTTCATCTTAATAGTATCCAAGTGATGTCACTTGGATGATGTAAGCAAATATCCGGTACAAGGCATTCCCCATAAAGTGATTACTGCATCGTTTGCACTGTTGCGTGTATGCAGAGGAACAGTTGCAGCGACTTTACAGCTGTGGGGAGTTGACTGGTACAGTCAGCAAGGGAACTGATGTCCATATGTTCTCTCTGTCGTTTCTTTAACTCTAGTTGTTAGAACTTGTGCCCGACTTGAGACTTGTTGTTCTTGAGCACTTTGAGGATGTGTAACAGATTTCCGATCTGGTTCTTATCATAAAGTTTGTTAGATCATCAAAATACAAAAAGGCACATAACTTATCATGCTCCAAATAATTTTTAGTTCTAGTAGGATACAACTATATAATGTATTTTTCAAGAAAAAAATACAATAATATGAGATGAATCATAACATTGTACTAAAATATTCAATAACAAAGATAATAAAATCGCATAAAATAAATATTGCTAATTAATAAGCCATAATAAAAGTGAACATAATCTAAAAGTACTATATAAGTCATGCTAAAATAAGTATATCTAATAAGTACTATTAATTACATGACTAATTATCCGTACTTATCGTACATTATCTAATTAATTAAATGGTATTTAATATTTACAGGGCTAAATTCGAACAATAATGAATAGTACAAGTATACTCGTTACATGTTTCATAATGTACAAGTTGTTTTGGATAATCGAATGTGTCTCACCATACATACTAGTAATGGATATTCTCTTTTGCGCCAATATTAACTGAATTGAAGAAGACAATTTAATTTTTCATTCAATTATAAATCAGACAAGTACATTTAGTATTTCGCTACTTAATTATTTAGTGGTTCAAGTTTTAATTATATGGAAAAACTCCTTAATTCAAATTGGAAATCAAAATCAAATCTATCACTTTAGAAATGTTATATATCTATAAATAAATAGACATGTGTAACTCTTATAGTTCACTAGCAATTAAACTAATCAGTAGCCGACTACTTATTATCCAAGAAAGTGGGATTCAGAATTGTGTCAAAAGGTAACGCTTGGAATCAAACACAACTGTCAAATAGAGCTTTTTGGATACTTTAAAGTCAAGAATGTAGAAATTAACCTTTTGGTTTTACGGCTACTTAGGGAAAAATATATAATTATAGGATATTAACTTGCCAGCTTTTCTTCTCGAATTCTTTCAGTGTGCTAATGACCTTTTCATGACTATTTGGTTTCTTGTAAGGATTCAGAATATATAATTTTCAATATGAGCTCGAATATTATTATTCTAATTGTTTGAAATAAAATTTAGATACTTAAAACTATTTCAAAAGCACTAAAATCGTCGTAAATGATGGGAGCATAGGAACTAATCTTTAAAAAAAAATCCCAATTTAAAAACTTGTTACTATATAAAATTTGACAAGAGATTACTTTCTACACTATCATTAATATCTTCCCCAGAAAAATAGGTAAGCATACTTCTCCATAATGATTATAAATTTTGAGGTGATGTCATGCATGACCTGATGGGGTCATAAATAAAAGGCCTAGGGACCCGAAACTTTGTTGGACTTTTTGTAATTTCAACCCGCGCCATAAACTATTTATATTTGATAGCCGAAAAGTGTATAAAATCTATATATAAAATATAGAATGCATATATATATATATATATATATATATATATCTATTTTTCGGATATTATTTTAAGATCGTCTATACAATATCATTTACCCAAACTTTGTTCCTGTCATGTTAAAACTACAAGCGAAAAACATTGATCAAGCCGAAAGGAACATACGATTTTATTGCGCTATACTCCTTTCTTCTTTTGCAATTTTTCATTGTGTGTCACATGCCCTGACATACCTATTTCATATGTATTTTCTTTAGGAAAATTTACACAAATATCCCAAATAAGTCTCAACTTACCAACCTCTAGCCATTAGTCATAAACTTACCAAAACTAGTCAAACACATATAAAAATTAAAAAACCAAATAAATAAGATTTTTTCTCTCAAAGAATCACATGCAAAAATCTCCTTTCATATTTTTAAGGGTGATTAGCAACATTAGATGCAAGACGAAAAGGAAATTTCATGGATGAGGTAGCAAATAAGGTGATGAAATAAAAAAAAATACAATATTCCAAAAATCTAAGCAAAAAAAAAACTTTTTCAATGGGTATAGTTGAAATTCATTGAAAACATATAGATAAGTCAATATACAAAATTTGAGGAAGATTAGAGGTGATTTGGACTGGTTTTGTATCAAAATTCATAATTAAATCGAGTTCAAAAAATTCTTCTGCGACACATGTATCAAACATGTATCACGCATGTATCTCACACATAGGTATACATGTGATACACAATTTATACAAATATGATACACAATGTGATACACATCATTTTTTTCATGTTCAGTTTTTACTTCGAATTTTCAATTCAAACCACCTCAAAACTTCACCAAATCATCCCAAAATTGAGATTCAAGCTCCTTAAGATGTACCCAATCTATTCTAATAACACCTACTCAAAAGAAAGTAATAATTTGATCTTTTTTTACTACAAATAGCTAATTGGCTAATATTAGTAATATTTTATGAATTGGTCAATTTTTAAAATGAGCTACTTATAAATGGGCATAACTTGTAGTTTCTTTTTCTTTATATAATACGTTTTCATTCAATGTTGATTACTGTGTTGATGACATTAAAAGGGACAAAGCTATTAACTAAGCAGAGTTATTGGTTCCCCGTCCCCCCCCTCCAATTTTTGTGATCTTTCAAAAATTAAGACAAAAAAAAAAGCCCTATTGGCCTTCAAAAAACCACAGGTGATTCGGCTTATAGAACAGAAATGCCCAATTATGATTTGAGTATTTTAACTTGGATTAGGCAATAGGTATAATCGAATCGTTGTCAACTATACTGAAGGGAGAAAAAGATAAACCAACAGCTTCAACGTGGCATCTGATTTGTGTTTTAATTAGCTTGTCCTAAAATGTATTTTTAAGAAAAGAACTGTGGACAAAAGAAACTAGAGGGATTAATAAGAGTTTAAGCTTCAATTAGAATCATTGAAGGACTCTGGGAGACTAGTAATAGCATAGACATTTCTTGCTTACAATTTCTCGTTTTCATGAACTGCTTTCTTATTATAACCTTTCTCCTTTATCATGACAATTATGCTCTCTTAAGCCCAAGGTCTATTAAAAACATCTCTATTTTCACAAGGTAGGTATAAGCTCAACGTACACACTACCCGCCCCCAGTATATGGGATTACACTGGCTATATTGTTGTTGTACTTTAACATGACAATATGTCAGCTGGGAATTGGCCTAGGCAATAAGCAAGGCCATTACCAAGCTCGTTATCAAAACCATGCCTCGATTGATGAGAATATAACCAATAACATTGTAAATTATAATTGCTATGTGAGAGAGATTACATTAGTATACAACTTGCGCGCGTAATAGCCATACTCCATTTTGTGGTATGAATTTTCCCGTGTACCAGTAAATAGTATGACACACTCATTAAATGGCCACCTATGAGCCATCAGCAGAAACTCCAATCATGGAAGCACACTCAGATCCAGTTAACTTGCTAAGGAGTTGATATAAAGAAACTGCAACCAGCAATAATATGGATCTGTCTGGCCCCAGATGGTCACGTGTGATCGGGATGCACCCCTATTTAGTGTAAGATCTCAAGTTTATGTAGCTGCAACCAACTTTCTGATCTTTCTGTCATGGTTCAACATAGCACTCACACTCTCAACAACCAATACAATCTGCATAGGTAAGAATATACAATATTAAAAAATATATATATATATATATATATGGATGAGGAGCAGCGTCTTAAGCCCCGTTCAGTCAACCTCAGAAGAGACTAGTCAACTTATCAACTTAAAAAATAGGAATTCAAACCCTATTCATGAGTTAAGAAAAGATAAAGTCAAGAATGTTGTTCTACTGATAGAAAGAATGTGATTTTACTAGTTACTTTAGATTTGCAAATAAAACCATGATTACAAAACCTTGTTTTCTCAGAAGAAGCTATGCCACTATACAAGAATATCATAAGCTGCTTAGCATGGTATTCCATGACAAAGAAAGAACACAAAATAAGACCAACAGGTTTGATCAATTACTGCAGACTTCAACAAGACAAGAAACCAGATAGCAATTAATTTGACTGGGAACTCTCTTAATACATGCCATGTTTCACAGCAATGCAATAATATACCAGGAAAGGTACAAAAGCGAACCTGGAAGCAAGCATAAGCCATTCCCGTTGCAAAGTAAAAGTTGGCATTGCCAGTTCCCTGCAAAGGCAGTAAGCTATTTGCGTAAGTACCTAATGATGATATCTGGAATTGCCTTATTGTTTATAGTACACTGAGAGCAACAATGCATAAGCATAGAAATGAAGCAAATACATACCCTCCATATCCACAAGTTGTGCATCACAGGACTAAGAAGCGAAACTCCAACATACCCACAAAAGAGAAAGAATGAAAACTGCATTTCTGCAATGTGTATAACGGTCAGATATGATCCAATTAGGACCTTAATCAAGAGAAAATGGTATGCTTACTACCTGCCAACTCATTGCAAAACAACGCTAACAAAGCCAAGTACAGAGCTGAGTCCCCAACCTGATGAATTTTAACCAAGTTAAGTGGAAGTCAAGAAATGATCATAATGTTTAAGTGGAAGTCAAGAAATGATCATAATGTATTGCAACAGATGCAAGCAATAAAAATGCTGAACAAATTTACTCTTGACATGATGAAAGCTAGCACTAGTAAAACTGAAGCAACCATTATAACTTTTAAGAAATTCGAGCACAACTACCAGAGATGGCATCTGGTAGTTAACTAATCGTGCTAAGCATTTGTAAAAGCAGTTAATGCTTCGTAAATATGAGGTAAACCCCTGAAACATTATGCTTTGTAAATATGAGGTAAATCCCAGAGTGGAACAAAAAGGGCAAATACCAGAAACATAATTTCAGGATCAGCCTAACATAGGAAGATACATGTACAACAGCATCATGACTGAACCAAAAGTGCCAGACAAAGGCTTCACAAATAGATAGAGTACTAGATGATAAATCCAGCATACTAATCACAATGGAGAAATCAAGAAACTCTCAACTAGCACAGTCTCACACATCTTCTTAGAAATGGGACTGCATAGGCTCTATACAATGATAACCCCTTCCCCCAACCCCCNATGTCATGATTTCACACATCCATGATTAGCTCAAAATGTAAAAGGCTGAAGTGCTCAATCTTCAAACATCAAATTTAGAAAAAATTTATTATTCATGAATTAACTGATATTCAGGATAAAGAGATTTCCCTAATGGGTAGGATTTAAGCATCAGAGATTCACATAGGACAGAGAGTACTCACTGAAGGATAGGGTTTAAGCATTGAACAGATTGCCATGTAAACAAAAGCCAAGAAACACGGTCGGTGTTTTAGCCTTATGGCTAGTGGCAGTATCATGAAAAGGATGTTCACATGAAAAACAATCAGAAAGAAATTTCTGAAAAATTCAAAGACCTCTGCAAAGAAGTACCTGCAGCCACGATGCACAAAGAGGTTACAGAAGAAGAGATAATCCATGGAGAAAGCAACTTCGTAGTCACTTACCATAACACACCTATGTTTGGAGACAAATCTTTGACAGTAAGAATAAATCCGTAGGTCCTGCAAGTCAATAATGATATAGAGTTATCAACAGGTCTCAATACAGAAGCAAATAAACTCAACCAAGTTTTTTGCCAATAATGTACATGATTATTTGCTTACAAACATAAAATGATAGCACTGCAAAGAAATAGATAATTCATACTTACACTGCCACAATATTCTTTACCAAATCTACTTAGCTTAAACAAAGACCTATATGTTTGGCCAAATGCAGCAGTGTCCAACAATGAGATCAATCAATGACATCGAATTGATTGGACGATACAGCATAAGGAAAAGCTCCAAATGTTGAAACTTGATAGCAAGAAAGGTGATAAATAAGAGCAATGATGGGCGCAATGGCAGGCATGATATGAAGAAACACAATAGAATAGCTGCTGCTTTACTCACACCACAAGAGTACCATTTACGAGCTACGATAAAAGCTCCTGAAGGACTGGGGCAATAAAACTTAATCTATAGTTAAATGTTCCAGAGTTGGCATTCAACAGCTATAAAAATAAAATGTCTGAGTTTTTCTATGATAAGTAAAAAAAATTAAAACAAAAAGGCTGTGGANCACAATAGAATAGCTGCTGCTTTACTCACACCACAAGAGTACCATTTACGAGCTACGATAAAAGCTCCTGAAGGACTGGGGCAATAAAACTTAATCTATAGTTAAATGTTCCAGAGTTGGCATTCAACAGCTATAAAAATAAAATGTCTGAGTTTTTCTATGATAAGTAAAAAAATTTAAAACAAAAAGGCTGTGGATTTTTTCCTATCAACAATATAGAGTTCAAATTAAGGAAATGACAACAGCAAGGATTTCAACAGCTACGCCTCAATCCTTAGCTAATTGGGATCGGCTACATGGATCCTTCTTATCAATGTCGCTCCATTTAAACCCAGCTCAATCGAATATTTAAAAATGAAAGTTCTCTAGGCAATGACAAGCAAAAGTAAGCAACTAGTACCTTCTAAACATTTCTGAAAGACCGCCATAGTTTCTCATAAAGATGCCACACAAAACCAATGCATATAAGGTCCAAATAAAAGCCCAGACAAAGAAGAGTACAACTGGTTTCCATGAGAAACTTTTAAGTTCTTTCAGGCCATTTTGTTCCACCCGGCCTTTACTTGAGCTATCATCTTCATCTTTCTTACAAATTAGGAGCAATTTCCTTGGGGTTGCATCTGGACCATTACCTAACAGTAAAATTACCTGGAACGAGAAGAACAAAATAGAAATTAGAAGAGTTCATAGACATTGATGTTACACAAGCTAAAAATGACCCACTTAAATAGGTAATTCTGCTCTTTCCATTTAAACTCGAGCAAAATTTTCAGCCCTTTATGACATTTGGGACTTACAGGTATAATGAGAATTGCCGGATAGAGAGACAAATGAGATGCTATAACCCAACCAAAAGCTGCCAATGGGGCTACTCCTGTATATACAACAAGCAAATTAATCAGTCTTGTTATTGTATTACCCTTGATGGACAATGACTCTCTATAAGCACCCTATATTCATTACATCAGATGAGTATAATAGAATATGTTTTTTCAAGAGCACCAAGAAGGGAGGAGTAAATATGCCTAGTTTCCAACTTCCATAAAAGCAAATAGGAAAACGGGTAAAAGGAGAGGTGAGGAAACTATATATAAAAAGCAGAAAAGAAAATATTCACAAACATATGGAAAGGTTTATTGACTTCTTACGGATGCAGGCTCCATAAAGTGACAAGATGATAAAAAGATTTTCCACAGGGGTTGTATTGAAACCCACACATGTGACTATGGTGAAAGGATTCCACAAGTACACGAGAGCAGCAATGTCCTCAGACGGTAGAATCTCTGAAACAAAAGAATGGTGGTTATTGCATCATTAACTAGTGAAGCAAACAAATTCCGGCATTAAAGCTGAATATTTACCAGAAACTTCAAAGAGCTTCCCCAAACCCAGCAATTTTAATCTCTCACAATATGTCATGCGAAGTTTAAGGCCAGTTGCTCGGATTAGCATGGCACAGATGAAATCTGCAATAACAGAAACCAAACTATATCCAAAAATGGGTTGAATGTCCATGCGATTTCATAATTTTGAAAGAACTACTTAGAAATGATGCTGCATGAGGAAGTAACAAATAAACTCAAGATGAGATCATTTCTATCTGCAAATTTTATAGTCTCGGAAAGATTAACATGACAAGATATTTGAGGAGACTAGAGGAAAGATGGAGATTCAGCGTTGAAGGAGGCAAAAGTGGAAACATGTTACATGCTGGTAACTCATTTCAAGCTATATGATACTCCTTTTTTCTCAGGTTATTGTCTCAGGTTAAGTATCCTCTCTGTTTTGGTTGGTCCAAATACTGGGGCTAATTTCTCTAAAGGAAAATGTTCTATGTACACTCCAAGAAACTTATTTTATGATAATGATAGCCATACGCTACAATACTTTTAAACACTTTTTCATTTTCGTACTACAAAAAAGGTCCATTGGGGCCCAGAACTCACATTTATACTCTGGAGCTAAGTCTTTATTTTAAAAGAAAAAATGATGGCAAAGAAAGAAAAAACTAAGAGCTATAAAGTGATGATGATGGAAGCAGATAATGCAGTAAACCAATTTTCGTGCTTTAAACAGTTTTGAGGAAAAGCAAGAACCACAGCAAACAAGTATTTGTTATACTTTACACACAACTCCCAAAAGCTTCATTGAAGTGAACCGACCAACCTTCTTGAAAGTGCAGGTGTATAAATGTACTCAGACCATTACTCTTATTTGGATCTTCTAGAAAGAGGTTAAGTGTTTACAGCATATGCTTTTTTCTTTCTGTTAATAATACAGTAGAATAGTTAATGCTCATTACTTATCCATCTCCATGCGCTTCTTATATGTGTCACTATGTTCAACTGATATAATGACAGCTAAGGGCAATGAGTATGGAATCAAGAATTAGGAAAAGAATGCCATTTACTGAAGTTCCTTAGTGAACCATTTACGAACCCATTCAGAGGATAATCGCCGTATGATCTTTAATACAAACGCAGCCGTTGAAAGTTCAACATTAACCAACCCTTATTTGCCGTATAGGAGTTAGTAAGAAGTTTCCACAAATGTTATTTCCAATGATGTATAAAGTTATCATTAAACGAATGCAAGACTTAATTATTACACAATCGGGTCACTTATTAGGTGATTATAGATAAATATGGTTTTAAATATTAATTGTTAATTTGGTACAAATGGTAAGTGACCTGCTATCACTGGTTAAAATTCACCGACAGTGCAAATAAATTTTTACATTGTAGTGTATATAACTAAATCCTAACTATTATATCCGCACTGATATGTACAACTCAAAAGAGCATGTTTTCGTGGAAAGCAAGAAAGAGACAATACCTGCATAGAAGATGAAAAGGCTGTCCTTCAATTCTACAAATGACAATTAAGAAGAAATAAATTACGTTATGGTTATGGTAAAAGAGAAAAAATCAACTTACAACAGAGTGCGAAAATACGAACAATGCTTAGTTGAAGCTAAAAAATTTACTTTTTCATTGTAAGCGGACCGAGAACCGAGAGCAAGAGCGGAGATCCATGATACATAGAACCTTCCAGAACATTCAAAATCAAAGCATTAATCAAATTATATATTCCAAAAAAAAAAGGACAAATGTTAAACAAAGCATTTGTAGATAGAGAAGGTAAACGAAACGAACCAGCATACGGCGACATCGATGACTGTGTTAACCAGTAACCTTCAGCCACTGCAAAAAAAAAAGTCAAAGAAAAAGAATGATACATTGATGTTTTCTAAGTGTAAATAGAGAATTGGTAAATAGTAAAGGTGAATTTACGGCGGCGGAGACTGGTGACGGGAGTAGAAACTTCAGGACGAGTAGCTAAGTTAAGGTTTTTGGGGAAGTAAATGAGAATTAATCTGAAGATTATTGATGCTACTGCCCATCTCCAAAAGCGTGGCTTCTTCGTTGGAATATTCTGCTGCTTCTCCCCTTTCATTGTTGCTGCTGCGCACCGGAGAGCTTCCAGATCCAGCTCCAATGGCTGTGGAGTGTGGAGTGTGGTAGCAGAATTGCAGCGATCGAATTTCGAACCGGAGAAATGCCTCAACTGGAACGACGTCGTAACCAAATAGGCTTGGCTGGTTAATTCGGCCTAGCTCTTGGTTACTTATAGGGCCCAACACAAGATTGAAAAGGCGATGGGCTGAATTGGGCCAAGTGTAAATGCATTAGGCCCAATTGAAGTTTTCCGTTTGAAAAAAGGAAATTTTACATGCTATAGCTAAATAATGCACCATATTTATTATAAACCAAAATACTTTAAAAATATTATTATTTATAGCCACTTTTTATATTTTATAGCAAAGTACAAATATATACATACAACTAATCCCTCAACTTTTCCCTCAACCCTCTCTCTTTTCTCCCTTAACTCTCTCTCTCTCTCTTTCTCTCTCCTTACTCTTTCTAAAACCTTATATCTGGTTCGTCGGATGAGGCCCACTAATACCATTGACCTAGATTCCGATTTACTCAAAACAAATCCGTTTTTCATCTGGTTTTGCCGCTCAAAATCTATTTTTGGCATTTGGGTTCAACTTCTTTGGGATCTATGGCTTCTTCTAAAAATGGAACTTTCAAAATCTACGGCGCTATGGCTTTTTTCCTTCTTTGTTCATCTCAAATTTTAGTTTTAATACAATATATACAGTGTTTTGCTTGGCCAGAATACGCCATCTCCTGCGAATTTTCTTCTCTTCCATGATATTGAGTCACATACAATGATACAAACACATTGTATTATGTACAAATACACTCAAGTTTGAGTGTATTTCTTATTTTGTATTATGTATTTTCAATGCAAATATAATTTATTTATTTTTATATGTATTTATGTATTCCGAAGGTTATTTTTGTAGCAGGTCCTTGTATTATTTTGAATTTTTATTGTTTGAATGCATCCGAATTAAATACAACAAATTGAATACAATGTAAAAGCAGCTATAAATGAATACGGTGGTTTGAATACAACTGAATATCGTTCTATTTTATGATTATTGTTGTTTCAATACAGTGGAATTTAATACAATGTAAAATAGTTAAAATGAATATAACTGAATTGAATACAGTGTATATAGCTTAATTGAATACATCGTCATACACCTTATTTATTGATATTTTGTTGTTTGAATATGACAGAATTTGATACAGTGAAATTGAATACAATGTAAAATATATAAGAACGAATACATTCAAATTGAATACAATATATACAACCGAATTGAACACAACGACATACATCCAAGGCAGACAATTAGTAGCTACGGAATGTAATTAGCTAAAATATAGATACGTCTAGCAATAAGCCTCTGAGCAATAGTCATTTATGAAAGTTCCAAACTTCAAAATGTATAGGTGTTTGGATTTAAAAGCAGGAAAAATATTTGCTTAAATTACACGACACATCAAATATTTACACTATATTTACTATTCGTAACTATACTTTCAGCAAATTTACTATTCATAATTATATTCGAATTTTATAGCAAATTCATGAAATAAGAGATTAATTATTTTGAACTGAAACAAAAGAGTAACAAGCTCTCATAGCTCAGTTGGTTTGAGCGTTTGTTTAGCTAGCGAAGGTCTTGAGTTCGAATTTCAACAAGAACAATTTATTTTTTTGTATTTCTGTATTTCGCCTTCGTTGTATTCGTTGCGCGAACAAATACAGCCGATATATGTTGTTTCCTTTATATATACCCCTTTATACAATTGATACAAGCTGTATACTTTGTGTATACCCTTGTATTTCTCTTTGGTTACATTTGATACAATGTGTTTGTTGCACGAATGAATATAATGGTTTATGAAAAATCCTCAAAAGATTTTCCAAATCAACATCAACAGAGGATTTTCCAAATCTATTGGTGCTTGATTTTCCAAAGTTGAAGAAAAATTTTGAAGTAAAAATTTTCAACGTTTTTTTGAGCAAAAAGCCTATGGCATTTTTTCTTCTGATTATGAAACACTGATGGTGAGATATCATATGAAGCGGAATTATGTTTAATTAGAAATATAATTTTGCCAAACCATGTGAAATTTCATTTTATGCTTAAATTGATTCACGGAGGTAAATATTTGGATATTTCTCCATAAAGAAATACTCCATGATTGTTAGTTCTTCATATCATTTTCTTATGGATAAAAAACGAGATATACGTATAGATATTAAAAGTTATATTGTATTGAAAATGCTATGACTTACAAATTTGATTGATAATAATAGTAAATTACTATTGGAAACTCAACCCAAAGAAGTTATCGTGCTAGGTTTTGCTTTTTTGCCCGCAGAAAGTCAAGTTATAAAATTGAATCTTACCTAACTTATTCTCGTACTTTGTAATATGGATTGGGAAAGGAAACTACTAAAGAAGTTTATTCCATGTTTCTTATAATCTTTTACGAATTAATGGTTTATGAATTATGATACATCCAATGTATTATACTCTAACTAGCTAAATTAAAATTGTAAAAACGTAGTATACAAATATGTATCAACTGTATAAATGAATAGTGGATACGGCAAAGTTATTTTATTTCATCATTTCGAGCTTTTTGCCTTTTTGGCCCCACATTTATGACAAATCACACATTAAGCCCCTCAAACGACTTATGCCCCAAGATATCCAAATTTACAGTCAAGGCCTTAGATACCTTTTTTTATAACAAAAGAAAAAGATTCTTACTTGCGGTGAAGTCTTAATTAATCTTAATTTAATCTGATCTGAGTTATATAAGACTCATTAAAAAAAAAATTATTTTATATAATTATTTATTTATTTTAAAGCTTCGAAACTTCTTATTAAAAGAAAAGGTCAATCCGGTACGCCAAACTTCTGCAATGCGTGAGATCCGAAAAGAATCAAACTATAAAGTTCTATTATATACCGTGTTACTCCATAATAAAATATTATTTTTACGGGTCGAACCCGTAACTATACACCTTCCAAAGTGTGAGTTAGATACTCTTTTTTCCGGGCAAAGGCGTGGAAGCTGGAACATTATAGAAGAGCAAGCAATTTCACCTTATTTGCCGAAAAAACCCTTAAACTCCACCCTAATTTCTACTCAAGCCCTCTTTAATATATTCCTTTCTGCTCTTTCAGTTTCCCCCAAATATCTATCTATATATCTATTTCACTCTCTCACGTTTCCTTTCGCAGAAAACAGTTGTTTTACAAAGATCGCAAAAATCTTTGTTTATTCTGCAAAATTTGTGGCAAATTTCTAGGAAATGGCGAGACCTAATCAAGAAGCAATCGATACATTCATGAACATTACTGGTGTTTCTGAAACCACCGCTATTCAAAAACTCGAGGTAAATTTATTTTTTTACTTCTGATTCACTGCGATTGTTACCGTAAAGGTTTCGTCTTGTTTTCAGCTTCTGACTTTTTAACTGCTGGAATCATCTGATGTTTATGGTTTGTTTACCGAATTGATTAGTAAGTTAAGTTTTTTTTTTGAAATTTAATTGCTGATTACTGCGATTGTTTTGAGTTCCTGATTTTCACTCAGTGGTAGTATTTTAAGGCTTAGAATTAATTTTTGTTAGCTTAAATATAATCAGCTAGTTCAACCAATCAAAAATAAAAGTGATCAGCTAGTTCATCTGTTCGAAAATGTTAAATTTTTTGCATTCTGTGATTCAAACTAAGTGAATTTTGATTGGCATTTTGAAATGTATCTTTTCACCATTTAGTGCGAGGAGAATACTAGCTTATAGTATTGAAAATGACGAGTTTTGCCTCGGGGCTTTGGTCTAGTTGTAAGAGCCTAGCGTGTGATGTATGGTTAGGCATACATCACAGCTTCAAACCCCGTCGTAGACAAGATCCTAGTATTTAATTGGGGAAGGGTAGAGGGATTTGCTCATTATCCACGGGTTTCTAACCTTGCGCGGATGGCCCTCGTGAAGTTCTCGGTTATCAAAACAAAATAAAACTTGGAGTAATTTTGCGTTGTTTTCGAATATCTAAGTTTTAATTTAAAAATGGATTAAGAATAATGGAAAATAATTTTCTTCTTTTTCTCTTTTAAGTTCTGGGCAGAAACATTTTAAGAAACAGCCTTTTGCAGAAAAAACAAGTTAAGGCTGCGTACGATAGACCCTTGTGGTCCGGCCCTTCCCCGTACCCCGCGCATAGCAGGAGCTTAGTGCACCGGGCTGCCCTTTCTCTTTTAAGTTCCGTTTAGCTCATGTAGTGTTTAATTACTTAGAATTTACATTTTCTCTCTATAATCATCCTCTTCCGCCATCTCAGAAAGTTTTGACACTTTTGGTTTCACCAAGTTGCAAACTAAGCCGATCTATATTTTAAATTGTATTCTTTCAATTTAAGAGGAACTCGAGTGCCGAGGTGGGGATAAGAGGTTGTTCAGGTTAGCCAAGGCGCAAGAAAGGAAGGCGTGTGGCTGGACCAAGTGAAGTGCATCAAGGACGGAGAAGGTAGAGTTTTGTTGGATGAGGGGCTTATCCGTTAGAGATGGCATACCTACTTTCATAGTCTCTTGAACGAGGAGGGGTACATGAGCATTGTACTGGGTGATTTGGAACTCTCCGGGAGTCGTTGTGACTTTGGGTATTGTTAGCGGATTAGAGTTGATGAAGTTGAGGGGGCTATGCGTAAGATGAGCAGGGGCAAAGCGACCTGGCCGGATGAAATTCCGGTGGAGTTTTGGAAGAGTGCGGGCAAGGCAGGCTTGTAGTAGCTCATTAGATTATTTAATGTCACTTTTAGAACGAAGAAGATGCCCGAAGAGTGGAGGTGGAGCACGATGGTTCCTGTACACAAGATCAAGGGTGATATCCAAAATTGCAATAATTATCGGAGTATCAAGCTGCTTAGCTATACTATGAAAGTCTGGGAGAGAGTGGTAGAGCTAAGGATGAGGAAGAGTGTGTCTATTTCCGAGAACCAGTTTGGGTTTATGCCGGGGCGTTCGACTACAGAATTCATCCACCTTGTTAGGAGATTGATGGAGCAGTATAAGGAGAGAAAGAAGGACTTGTATACGGTGTTCATCGACTTAGAAAAGGCGTACGATAAAGTTCCGATGGA